ATAAGCAAACGCACACACACACACACACACACACACACACACACACACACACACACACACACACACACACTCTGTAGCATCAATAACAGTCAAAAGTGTGGTGAAGCAGCATGCCAGAAGATGTGCTAATTCTCTGCGTTAGTTACCAGAGTGGGTGTTGGATGTCTGAGGAAACAATGGCATTTTGTGAGTAGGTTCATGCTTGGAGGAAGAAAAAAAAAAAAAAAGAATGTAGGATATAAAAACCATCTTTGTCAATAAGGTGCTTATACAAAAAGAAAACTAAAGGCAGCAGAGGGAGGAAGACAAGAAAGGGTGGTAAAATCACAACACAGTATCATGATGTACAAAGCAGGGCTGTTTCAGTCTGTCAGAGACTCCAGGAACATCAACAGGCTTGGCAACAGCCATATTCTCCAGTTTGTTTACTGGAGCTTTTTCAAAAATCCAACCCCCCCCCCCCCCACCACCACCACCACCACACACACACAAACAATCTTTGTTTATTAGCTGTCATTAGTTACATAAATAGTGTAAAAGTATTTAATTAAATGCAGCAGAGTTGTACTGATTATAAGAACAAGAACTGATGTTTGTGTACCTGAGTATAGGTTGAAGTATAAAGCATCAAAATCTGAGAAAAGTAACATTTTGAGTACTCTAATTAAAACAGATTATATGGCACTTGTAACCAAGCAGTAATGCAACACAGCCTGGTGTAAATCGTACCCCAGTCTGACCTGGCTTGTTTTGCAGTTAATTAGGTCTGTACAGAAAATTTAAATATTCAGCTTGTAATTTATCATAAAGGCTAGAAATGTTGAAACAGCCAGCTTAGTCCAAAGGGAACAACATGAATCAACTACCACAGAGCCATTGCATCTGTCCAGGAACTTGCTCAACATCCTGCAAAACAATTCAACACAAAAAAGACAGTGTGGTAATTAGTGTAATATATAGCTGGTTGTAGTCTGAAAAACTGCTGGAAGGAGCTTTGTTTATTGATCGCTTTCACAAGCAGACAAGCTAATTATTGCATTGGATACTTCTAGCAGCACCATAATAACGCTGTGAAGAAGCTGTGCATGATTTAGGAAATTGGTACTAACATATCTTGTCAAAATTAGTGATCTATAACAATCCTGGTATTATTTATAGTTTTATTCAAAATGCAAACTCATCTCCATGAATATGCATATGTGGCTTTGTGCAGTGAAAACGACGCATCGTCCGAGAACGAGCAACTGCTGAGCCGCAGCATCGACAGCGACGAGGAGCCGTCGGATAAACAGGGTTCAGCAGAGATCTCAACCGCCAACCCCAACCCATGCCTCGTCGACCTGGGCAACAAACCTGACCTCTCCCTGCTCTCTCTGGGACTCCTGGACCGCGGTCGCACCTGCAATGGCACCTCTGCTGTCGTAGCCAACCACACTAATGGCATTTCCAGTCCCAACTACATGAATGGCATCAACCACATGGCCTCCAGCAACCACATTAGCGGTGTGAATGGGATCAACAACAATAAAGCTGTTGGGGTAGGAAGATGCGGCTTTTTCAAGAGACTATGTTGAATATAGTTGTGAAAAGATTCACAAATTAGTTCGGTTGAAAATGCTGTAACATTTTTTTTTCCCTGTGACCAGATGCTCCAGAGTCGAAGGAAAAAGATATTAGATCTTTATGCTAGAGCCTGCAATGTGTCTGAGGGTAAGTGTTAACGCAATATTTAATATAATATATATTTTAAGTTTAGATAGAAGTTTCTAATTAATTAATCCCCTTAAACAATGAATTCCTGCAACCTCTCCAGGCCTGAGTCCCACAGAGCTTCCCTTCGACTGCCTGGAGAAGGCGAGCCGCATGCTGAGCTCCTCCTACAGCAGCGAGGCGGCCGTCGTGAAGACGTGGAGGCATCTGGCTGAAAGCTTTGGTCTGAAGCGTGACGAGATCGGCGGCATGAGTGACGGCCTTCAGCTCTTTGAGAGAGTGAGCACAGCCGGCTATAGCATCCCTGACCTCCTCACCCGCCTGGTTCAGATCGAGAGGCTGGACGCCGTGGAGTCGCTTTGCACCGATGTGCTGGGAAGTGGCGAGGTGGCAGTAGTGACTGGACGGCAGAGCATCAACAGTTTTCACAGCCAGTTAGTCTGTCCTTCCCCGTGCACGTCTCCATCCCATCGCTGCGCCAGTGTCTGAATATTTGGCAGAGCAGAGACTTAAAAGACTTGCAAGTTTTCGGGTACACATATATGTAAGGACAGATTCTGCTCTGACAAAGACTGTGCATATAGCGTGTACACACTACCCCCATCACATGAAGAATGTCAGTGGGCTTTCTGTCCATGGTCTTTTATCTGTCAAAAGCTAACAGAGTTTGTTCCAAGTGCTACAATGTTTGAAATTTATGAAAAACAACTAAATTAGTCCTTCCTTTATCGAAAGTGACAACCTATTCTCTAGTTTGCCATTTCAGCTTCTTGTCTGTGAGAATATAATAATCACTTTTTATTAGCATGTTTTCTCCTTCAAATGCCAAAACAAATGTATGAATAGCTGGAAGACTTTTGCGCTGGACGCATCTCAATAATTTTTTTGTTGTTGTTGTTGTTTTTTTAGCTCAGATTTTTTTTCTTCCAACAAACCCCTATCATATTCTCCTTATGCATGCTCAGTATTGGTTGAGCCATGTCCTCTGGATGGATTAGTCTGTTGAAACGTTTCATCTTTAATCCAAAAGACTTTTCCAGTCTTTCACATTCGTTGAAACTCTTTTCTGAAGGGTCTGTAACCAGTTGTGGACATTAGAATCAGGGCTTAGGTCTATTCTCCTTAAAGGCTTTGAAATGGAACTTGAACCTTCTGCAGTTGATCAAGTCAAACACTTGTGTCCGCATGAAGAAAGAGACCTGCTTTGACTGCAGCGTTAGTTAACATTCATAAAATGCTCCTTAGACTGGGCTGTCATCACACAGGGAAGCCAGAAGATATGAGCTCCCTAGTTAGAATATAATCATTGTGGCCAGATGGAAATGCTAAAAACATCAACTCACCTTTCATCTTGTAAAGTCGCCTGTGAACTGTGAGCATCTGTCGACACCCTTCCCCATCTTGTACTGAATCCTAATTTCACCAAATAGCATTCACAAAGAGACAAGAATAGATTGAAAATTTTGTATTTTTAGGGCATTGAAAATTAAATTCAATTCAGATTATTTATGTAGCGCAGAGTCACAACAGAAGTCGTCTCAGGTCACTGAACAAAAACATTCATTTATATAAAAATACGTTAACACTATTTATCTGAGGAGCAGACTGCTTTGAATGTGACTTTGTTGAAGAACTTTCATCTTCAGCAAGCATGAAGGCGACAGTGGAAAGGAAAAAAACAACAACTCCCTCATGAGGAAGAAACCTTTTAGCAAAACCAGGCTCAGAACAAGCGGCCATCTGCTTCAACTGGTTGGATTTGAGAGGACAGGAAGGAGGAACAGATACACAATGGCAGGTCGATAATCACATGTGAAGATAGAAATAGTATCAAATGAAATCTATTCAATTTAAACAATTAATTTCAAGAAATTAGGTCAATTTGTTTTCCAGTAGTCTAAGCCTATAGCAGCACAAGCCAACCCTAACTATAGGATTTATCAAAAAGGAAAGTCTTAAGCCCAGTCTTTAAACTGGACAATGTGTGAGCCTTACGGACAGAAACTTGAAGTTGGTTAACATTCTGTAAATTTTGGGTTTAATCTTTAAAATATCAACATACATTTATCCATCAACTAATATATATTAGGTGCGGTAAGCACACTGATGACAAGATGTAGTGAATGGAAAAATTCAACCAACCACCTCACAATAAGAAACACACGCATGCACACACACACATGCAATAAAACACACTCCAAAACACAGATTCATTTTAGGTGCTAAGCATCCAAGCATTTGTGCCATATACTAAATGAACAGTGTTCTGCCTGAGACCAGATGCCATCAACCAACTGTCAACCACTTAAACACACAGATTCAAGTACTCTTCAACTGCAGCTACTTCCTCAGCAGTGACCCATTCTGTGACCCCACCCCACCAAAAATAAAATAAAAAAATAAATACTGCCTTTTACTATCCTTATAACCAATCTTGTGGTCCAGTGCTGCCGCCATCCTTAATTATTTGGCATGTGGCTTCTTGTGCCCCTAATAAGCTGAAGTGTTGTGGTTTACAGAGCGGGTGCAAAGTGCCTGTGATTTTCAGCACCAAATTAAGCATTTAGGGCCACTTAACCACTGAAAGCCCAGTAGAAAAGCTATAAAAAAAAGTCCCTGCATTGAAACAGATCGATGCCATGGCAGATGTATGACTAACTGGCCCCAGGGTTCCTGCACTGTGAATGGTACAAGAATGTTGCTCGTTGGGATGGAGGTAGCACTGCATTTAACCTATAACGTCTGCTCTTTTTCAGCTTTTGTGGTTGGCTCAGTCATGCTCAGGCAGGATTTTAGCTCCACTCGCCCCTATGGGACCAATAGACTAAACTAAAACAAGATGGGGATGTGTGAGTTCTGAGAAGCAGCGGAAGACGGTTAGGTGTGCGTGCACTGTTCAGAAACTGTTCCTTTGATAAGCATCAGGCAAAACATTTAAAGGAGTGTCATCATGTTGATGCTCACTGTAACTCTTAATACTCACTGTACGTCAAGTTTGCTAATTTCTGCTGCAATTATGTCTCAACTCAACAAAATGCTCTGAAGTCCAAGCAATGCCAAAAGTTAAGATGCTTGGAAACAGGACTGATTTTAATCCGATGCCCGATGTTGTCTGCATAATGTCCCAGGTCTGGGTTGTCTGCATAATGTCCCAGGTCTGGTTTGTGCATACATCTTACTTTCTTCACACTTTTTTTTTTTTTTTTTTTTTTTGTCTTCTGGGGCGGGACTCCTGTGCTTTAAATTAATTCTTGTACTTGGTTTTCAAGTATGCATCAGCTATTTCTTCTTGTGAATGAGCTAAATATTCCACATAAACACACCACCTTCTTAGAACTGCAATGTTATCAACTCAGTTACTATTTGAATTTATTTTTCTATGCTTTATATGAATATTGTAGAAAAAAAATGTAGAACTGAAATGAAATCAGCAAATGTTCAGGAATGCAAATGTTTGTCTAATATATGCCGATATAAAATACAGAAGCCATACATAAATTACTTACCTCAGTAGCACATACAGTATAATACAACTAGTAGAAACACACAAACTCATCATGAAACCAAAGTGTAACTGTATATATAAGTTATTATTGTACATAAAAGTATACTTAAATAAAGATGTATGATAGAATCTGCATTGTATTTATTTCAGTGATGCAATAAGTGACTGGTTATAGTGATAACATGCCTGCTAACGAAACACAAAAGTGGATGGTAATATGTGAGAATGTGTGTTTGTGTGTACTGACACTCTTCATAAATTACTGGACAAGGTTTATTAAAACTTGCAGAAAATATTGCTGAATGCATCTTCAATTTATTTGGAGCCAACCCAATTCAAGATGGTCGCCACAGCCAAATGAGCTTAGAAAACATTACATTTGCAATAATCCAGCCAATTTTATGGAGAGTATGCAAAAATTAAAACTTTAGCATTAGCTGTTGAAGTTAACCCTGTTTGTATGTTTGCAAAATATTTCATAAATTGCTGTACAGATAAACTGTCAGAATGCAATCAATGCATCCAAATCTGCAAATTATTAACTATTTCAGCCAATCTGACTCAAGATGGCCAGCACAGCTAATCCACATTAGCCAACTTAAAAAGAACCATAAATCAGTTTTACAGATATAGAGCTAAACTATGATGTGGTAGTAGCTGATAGTCATGCACAACACATATTTTGGGTGTGATACATCATTATGTCCCCTGAGATTTTACTTAACATTATTTTCAAGGTGTGATCAAAACTGCTACCATGCTGTTCCTTCTTAACAGTATCTGTTTTCAATTTCAAACTCTGGCATAGAAGGTGGTGGGAGATATGCATTCCTTCAAGAAACACTAGGCCTTTTATCACTTACAGTACATATTGGCTGATATGATTTTTGTTTTTCTTTTTGTTTTGAATTACTTTACTAAAGTTAGCAGCTAAATACCATGTCTGGTTGTGATGCTGAAACTCTTTTATAGACTTTCTTTGTACAATCTGGGCCATTGTAACAGGCCACAGTACACCCCTAGTCTGGACTATACCTGAGATTAAAGGGGCCTAGGCTAGATTATACCCTAGGTATACTATGGCCTAGGAAAATAAAGTTGTAAACTCAATCATCCAGGTAGATAACAACAAAAAGGTTAAATCATGTAATCTGGAACAGTTTATCTTCCATCTGAAAGACTTGAGTCTGCGGTTTGCCAACCAGATCTGTCCCATAAGTAGCTTTATGGGCCATATAGCCTATGGCCTTGGCCACTTTTTACTCTAGGGTACAAATTAGCCTAGGCTTATTCATACCCCTCAGGACAGATTATACCCTCATTATATTTGGTATGAGGGCATGTTATTCTATGGGTATATAGATGGGTATATTCTGGACTGGAGGGATATAGTCAGATCTAGGCTATTTTACAATCCCAGATAAAGTTTGGTGAGAGACAGTTTATTCCCAGGGTATACTCTGGCCTGGGTATGCATTTAATCTGAGCAGGGATTAATTTGACCTGTTACACCAGTGTGAAACCAGTTAATAAAACAAGCATCTAATAGGTCAGTATTGGGCAAGAACAGGTAACACTGGGTAGTTTTATTAACTTAAAAGTGGATACCCCCATGCCAGTCTGGACTTGTATTCTGCAATTCATCAATCCTGGAGTAGCTGCATTAATTGCATTTTTATACACTTTTTTTAAAATTTCTACATTAACCAAAATCGCAAACTGACAAAATTTCCAGTGAATACTTTTATCTTCTGCACCTTTAAATCTTTTTACAAAAGGCTTCATCTTAAAGTGCTCCTACAGGGGCAGATACTACCTCTGGAGACCTTTTTTTGTTTGTTATCAGGCCTTTCATTGAGTGGGTGTGTAGTTGTGCCAGAATAACCCAAAAGCCTTAGTCAAACATTGAGGTGTGACTCTGCCGGCATTAGAAAAGGTTCATCTGACAATGAAGATGTTCAAGGATGCTGCTGCGAGGCATCAGGGCTGGGTTTGATCTCTCATCATATTTCAAACACTCAAAATGACCCATTAGAAGTCCTTCTTGTTTGAAAAGCCCCATCAGTCCTTGCCTGCACACAAACACACACAAACATATGCTTTATATACAAGCGCACATGTCTCCAGGGTTTCTTTTTATGTCTTAAGAATCTGATTTGGATTTATTTTA